TGCAAGTAGAAATGACTGATGTTCATCCGGTTCTCTAAGAGCCAGGCACCAAGAGCCTTTCACAGGCTGTCTTGTGCCACCCGAACAGCCATCATCATCCCCACATCACAGATGAGGAGAGTGAGGCTCCCAGGTTCAGTGACCTGCAGGAGGTCCCATAGTGGGCATTGGTGGTGTGAGGATTGGCGTAAGGGGAGTCAGGCTGCTGTGTCTGCGGTGTCTGTCTGGGTCTTGGTTGGTCACTGCCTCTGCTGTGAAGGAAGGGAGGGGTCTAAAGATACAAAGGACAAGTGACCTGGGCCATGAGCAGAACCTCAGGGCCTGGGATCTGTGGCCAGCACCCTACCCCAGCAGGTGCTTGGAAGGAGAGTCCCCTCCTGTCTTGGGATCCTGTCTCTCCATGGCAGTGTTGAGAGTTGTTTGTCAAAAGAGGGAGGTGAGCAAGCCAGGAGCATGATGGCAATGCTCCCTCCGACCTCCTATATCTGTCCCACTTCACCCCAGACAAACCCAGCCAGGATCTGGCCGGAAAGATGGAAATGGTGCCTTCTGCCTGAGAAACAAGGAAACCTCAGGCTCCCTGCTGATGACTTATATTGTTGGCAGAATTACTGAAAGCAAAAAAGACAGTGAATCCTTGGAGCCGGTGACTGAAGAATGGATGACAAAATGAGTGTCTTTCTCTTTAGTCAAGTCCCTATGCCCAACTTTGAATCAGTCTTGATTCGCCTCCTCCTTCATGACTGAGCACCTCTTACAGGCAAAGCACTGTGCTAGGCACTTGGGGCCCAGTGGCAAATACATGAGATGAGACCCCTGCCAGTGCTGGCCCTGAGTCTAGTGGGGCACAGAGGGGTTGGTAAGGGCTCTTATGTTAAAAGTGACAGAAAGCCTAGGCGTGGTGGCTTATGCCTGTAATCTTAGCACTTTGGGAGGCCGAGGTGGGAGGATTGCTTGAGCCCAGGAGTTCGAGACCAGTGTGGGGAACATAGGGAGACCCCCATGTCTACACACACAAAAAAAATATCCAGGCATGGTGGCACACATCTGTGGTCCCAGCTACTTGGGAGGCTGAGGTAGGAGGGTCACTTAAGCCCATGAGGTCAAGGCTGCAGTAGACAGTGATTGTGACACCATACTCCAGCCTATGTGACAGAGGAAAACCCTGTCTCAAAAATACATAAATAAAATCAAAAATGACAAAATCATCTTAAACTAGCTGTAGCAAAGAAAAGGCACGGTGGGGGTGGCAGGTGGGAGGCTGGCTTCAACAGGCCTGCTTCCAGGTGCTCAAACAGGTGTCTCTTTCCCTCTCTTGGGACTGCCCTACTCAGCCCTTGCTGCATTCATGGACAGGCCTTCCCTTACTGTGTGGTGTGGACGTGATCGCTGGCAGCTGCTGTGCATTGTCCCCTTTGCTCTCCACCCTAGAGAAAGTGTGTGGCCATCATATCAAGCACCAGCATGTGTGGTGACCATTAAATATACCCCATGGCCCTGCCCTATACCAGCTTCAGAGCCCAGGACATTGGGTGCTCCAGCTGGCCATCCTGGGTCACAGGCCCCAGGTGGAGCAGTTGGGAGGACAGTCCCCAGTAGGGAGAAGGTGCACTGATAGGCAAAAACAACAGATGCCCATGACAGGGAGGCTAGACCTGGGATGTAATCCTGTGAATAATTAATATTGCACTTCTGGTAAAAGCAATGAAACAAGGTGCCATGTGTAAGTATAAAAGGGTAAGAAGCCCCTGAGGAGGTGGCTCTTAAGGGGACCTGAAGGATGAGTAGGAGGTAGGCAGGCAGAGGGAGGAGTCTATGGGAGGACTCAATGGGTGTGATGAGCAAGAGGTGAGTGGGTTGAGGTGAGGGTGGAGGATTGCTCAGGGCCCTTGGTGAGGCCAGAGGACATTCTGAAGTGATGGGCGTGGCCTGCACTAGGTTGCTCCTAAAGGACCCAGGGTTGAAGCCGCTTCAGCTGAACAGATGTTTGTCTTCCTGAGGGTAGTTCACATTGTGAGTCGGCCACCAGCATCATGTCCTGGCCAGGGAAGCCATGGAGTCAACCCACTGACCAAACCCTCCAGACATCCCGGGTATATGAGGGCATCTTGAACGCCTCAAGCTTCCCGACATATCAGGGCCACCCTGGTCCCTCAGGAATCTTCAGGCTGATGGCCAGCATAATTGGGGCCAAAGAAACCAGAGGTCACAGCGAAGAGTAGGATTTGGAAATTTGTCATCCACCTGCATAAAGTTAGGTGCCTCTGCCAGGCAGAGCTGAACACACAGCCTCATTAGCTAATGCGAGTTTAATATGAAGACAAGGAGCTGGATGCCGGCCTGGTCAGCTGCCCAGGAGACATTCAGAAATAGAGCATGGTTAAGGTGTCCTACCTGTTCAGCGCCACTGCACCACCTGGAAGGCAGGGGGCAGCCCAACAGCAACCTGGGCAGTATCTGCCAGACAAAAGCATCACTTCCACATCAATCACTTTGTATAAAGGAAGAGTTATTGTTATGGGATGCTGGCGCCTGATCAATATCTCCTGCTTTGAAAATAAACTTCTTGGCTTGGCCTTGACATTAATCTGCCATCAGGAGCCCATTATCTCGAGACCAATGTTCTGTTCTATTGACTCGCTGGACTTTTTTTTCTCCCCCAAGATCAGAATATAATTGCATTTCTCCAGGCAGCACTTCCACTAATTGCAGCCCGGTGCATATCCCCTCTCGGGAGGGCCAGAGTACATCAGGGCTGGGGATGGAGTAGCAGGAAGTACTGGGAGACAAAGGACCTTTTAGGAGCCAGTGGAAGAGCAGCCCTTCTAGAGCCCCTGAATTAATCAAGATGTGAAGCCCAATCCCCGCAACCTCATCAAGCAGTTCCAACTGAAAAGAGCACTTTTGCACAGAATCTGGGTTGCAGATGTCCCCATTCCACAAATGAGAGAATATGGTAGCAAGATTAATAATAATATCCTGAATCCAGCTGTGTCCCCACCATTGCTGCAGCGCCCCTCACCCAGCGCCAGGACAGCTTCGTATCAGAACAGCTTCAAGAGACTCCCAGGCCTGCCACTTCAGGCCCTTCTCCACCCCACAGGCAGAGCCATCTTTGTAAGATGTAACTGGGTTGTGTGTCTCCCTCTCTGAAGACCAGTGAAGACTCCTTGTTCTGCCAGTGAGGCCCCTGCTGCCTCTCTGGCCTCCCCTCCCATCTGTCTTCCCCTTTCTCCCTCTGCTCCTGCCTGGCTCTCTTTTTGATTACACCAAGTTTGGCCCTGCCAAAATCCTTTGCGCTTTCTCTTCTCTCACCTGTTCTCTCGCCTTTACTTTTACCTGCTCGGTTCTACCTCAAACATCCCCTCCGAAGTGAGGCTTTCCCTGACTGGGGAGCATAAAGTAGCATGCCTCACATCCCATACACCCCCACAACGAGTCTACGCAATGGCCCTGCTCTGCCATCGCCACCTGAAACCATCTCCCATGTTAGCTACCTGTGCCAGAATCCATCTTAACGCAACACACAGTTAATGACAGCCAGGCTTCGCTAGGCCAGGGATTTAGGGGTGGCTTTGTTGGATAGCTCCACCTTGGGTCTCACATAGGGAAACAGTCAGGCTATGAGCCAGGGCCGCAGTCATCTGCAGGCTTGACTGTGGCCACCACCTCCACTTCTCAGGTGGCTCACTGACCTGGTTGGCAAGTTAGTGCTGTGGGCAGGAGGCCTCAGCTCTCACCTCATAGACCTCTCCATAGCACAACTTGGGTGTCCTCAAATACGGCAGCTGGCTCCCCCAAAGCCAGTAGTCCCACAGGGAAAGGTAGAAGCCATGGCATCTTCATAACCATCATTTCTGCAGTATCCTGTGGGTTACACAGGTCAGTCCTCATGTGACTCAATGGGAGGCATCTACACAGGGGCACAAACACTAGGAGGCAGGGAGTGTGAGGCCACCTCGGAGGCTGGGGCCTCGGCTGACGGATTCATTGCTGTGTCCTGAGTATGCACCAGGTCTTGTGCTAAGCCCTTTTACACACAGTATCTCATCTTCCAGTCCTGCCTCCTCTATTCCCTTACAGGAAACTGAGCCCCAGAGAAGTTAAGTACCTTAAGTCATAAAATGGGTAAGTGGCTAAGCCAGGATTCGAACCCAGGCCTGCCAAGGAGGGTCTGTGTAGGCTGGGCCCCTCAGTGGGTGTGAGTCAGTATTGACTGTACATGTTAAGATTTCCAAATTGCTGTCAGACCAGCAGGCAAACTTAGGAGCTCGCTGTGATGTCAGATACTCCTCCCTGGGAGAGGGACACAAGGAGAACCATCAGATCCCACACTGTGGCAAGACCCAGCTGCACGGCCTAGCAAGCCAGACTCAGAGAAGGCAAGGCAGGGAGGCTGACCGAACTGCTCAGGAAGACCCAGCCAGAGGCCCAGATCCAGGAGGAAAACAAATGCGCATCTGTAAATCTGTGGAACCTGTGTGCCCCCTTGACTCCTCATACTGTGGCTGATACCACTTTGTGATCACCATGGTCTTTCTCACTGATCCTCCAGTACCACCCTAGAATTCTCAACACACCACTCCATAGTGGATTAGAGCTCAGACTCTGGAGTCAGCTAAAACAGGGTTTAAATTCTGGCTCCATCACTTACTCTGTGACCCTAGACACATTTCTTAGCCTCTCTGAGCCTCCGTTGCAGCATCTGTAAGATGGAGCTGTTACTACCTACTTTATAGGTCTTCTGATGAGGCTTTAGTGTGGTTGTGCATGTGACCATCTTAGCATAGCATTTGGCAATGGTAAGCAGTCAGTGCTGTCAGCTGTTTGTACTGCCGTTACTATATTACTGCGTTTCCCCACGTCATTAGCTCTGTGATCCAGGCTTCAGCAGACAGTCCAGGTTGATGCTTTTGCTGAGTGCACTAAGGGGTGCTGGCCTAATGGGATGGTGAACTGGAAGCAGAAACGTCATCATCTCTCCCTTTCTTGCCACACAGGTGTGGATGTGTGGGGGCCGCATGGAGGACATCCCCTGCTCCAGGGTGGGCCATATCTACAGGAAGTATGTGCCCTACAAGGTCCCTGCCGGAGTCAGCCTGGCCCGGGTAAGGTGGTGGCTTTCCTGAGGGGCGAGAAGGGGTTGGCCTAGGACCATCAGCTGCACTGAGGCCTCCTGGGGGCCCTGGACTGTGTTGTGTGATCCCTGGGTTTGAGGATGTGCCCCCATTCTCCAGGTGGAATCCAATTTAAAAGAGCTTCCTTAAATCCTTACCCTTCATTGGCTGTGTGACCTGAACCTTAGCTCCTCTGAACCTGTTTCCTTCTTTGCTTAAAGATAGCTAATTCTTTCCAACTCTCAGCATTGCCAGGAGAATTCAGGAGATGATACTGTTTCCCAAAGTGTGACAGATGAGATGGTCTTAGGCAGCAGACGCAGGAAGTTTTCTGGTTCATGTGTTTAATGTGGATTCTAAATTAATGTGTATTCGTGTAGCTAACTTGTAATTTCACAGATATTATTACTTAGTGCAAAGCTAGTGCAGGTGCAAAGTTAGACCAGAGGTGATGGAAAGAAACGTTAGGTAAATATTAACACAGGTGGTGTGTTGTGTTGGAAAAGCCTGCGTATTAAGTTTCTGGAGGGGAGGTGGGGTTCATAAATGTCAGTACTGTATCTTTCTCTTCTCCCTACCCCTGTCCACTCTCACAGTCAAAACCTCTGCATGTCAAACTGTTTCATTGCCTTAAAATGGTTTGTATCAATCATTGCTTCAATTAAATTGGCCACTGACTGCTAATGGAAATCTGTTAGCCAGAGTTTGTTTTTGTTTTTGATATTAAATGTATTGAAAAACTAAATAAATCCAGGTGACCACAAAAGAAAAACGAAGAGGAGGGAGGGTCCCCAGAGGAGGAAAGAGCCTCCGGGAGGTTTGCAGGGAAGCTGGAAAGGGCCCGGCACAGCCTTCCCTCTGCAGAGCCTGTGAGCCCTGCTGGCCGGGTTGGCTTTAGACCGCACTGCCTCCTTCTGTCCAGGGCACTGCCTCCTCCCTCGTCACCTGACAGTCTCGACGTGCAGAATTGTAGCCCCCGGGGTCCTGGAAGAGCCTTGTCCTGTGACTTACAAGGAAAGCTGAGAGGCTCAAAGAGGCCGCGCGTCTCCCCGAGCGCCGTCCGTGCGTGGAAGCTGGGCTCTGGGAAGTGTCAGGGGCCGCGTGGAGGGAAAGGAGAGCCGGCAGTGCCCTCCAGTGGCAGCAGAGCCTAACGACGCCCTCACCAGCCATCCGCGGTACCCACAGCCCCACCCGACGCGGGGGGTGGGTTCTAGGTTCAGCCCCTTGAAGCAGGAATCGCGTTCTTCTAAAGGCCATTCGGCGATCCCTGAGGAAGGTGCCAGGCAGGCAAAGAGCACATGCTTTCTCGGTCCGCCCAAGACTGCGACTCTTCTGGCCACAAGGGACCATGGGGACACTCCGACTCCAGACCAGGAGCAACCCCAAAGCATTCTTTTCCTCTGCAGAGCTGTTATTGATAAGGGCCACCTAAAAATAAAAATAGCCGGGCACGGGGGTGTGTGCCTGTGGTCCCAGCTACTCAGGAGGCTGAGATGGGAAGATCGCTTGGGTCAGGGGGGTCGAGGCTGCAGTGAGCTGTGTGTGCCACTGCACCCCAGCCTGGGTGACAAAAGGAGACCATGTCTCCAAAAAAGTTTTTTGCTTTTGTTTTTTAAAGGCCCACCGGATAAAGAGATACTACCGCCTCCTGCTTATTACAGAACTATTATTATAGATGAATTCAGTGGATAATAGCCAACTGTAGTCACGCTTATAAAAATTCCCTTTGAGCCAGGCATGCAAAGCATTTTACTTATCTCGCTTCATTCCCACTTGTTTTTAACCCCATTTTATGGATGGGGAACATGAAACGTGGTGTTGGCAATAGAAATGTTAAGTAACTAGAGCCAGAATTCGTGTCTGACAGGTGCCTGGCACATAGCAATTGTTCCTTAAACAGTGACTGCTGTGATTAGTGTCAGCGTCAATATTAACAATAAAGACTGGAAGGTGTATTTAAAAGTCTTATCTAAAATCAGTGTTTAGGCATTTTAGCGTGTTTCTCTTTTAGCTGCCTGTACTGAAGCAGCATCCTGTTTTTGGCTTTAAACCACTTAACAATCTGAGTGGTGCCCGTGGCTTCTTCCCCAGGGATCCTGTGATCCATTAGGTCTGATTATGTGTAGGTTTGCAGAACCACAGAGATGCCTGATTCAGGTGTGGCATTTTATTATGGTGACTAACAACCCTCAGTTAGTTGCAGATCACATTTAAAATACTTGCTCAGTGGGCCAGGCGTGGTGGCTCATGCCTGTAATTCCAGCACTTTGGGAGACCAAGGCAGGCAGATCACCTGAGGTCAAGAGTTCAAGACCAGCCTGGCCAACATGGTGAAACCCCATCTCTACTAAAAATGCAAAAATTAGCCAGGCCTGGTGGTGCATGCCTTTAATCCCAGCTACTAGGGAGGCTGAGGCAAGAGAATCACTTGAACCTGGGAGGTGGAGGTTGCAGTGAGTCAGGACTATGCCACTGTACTCCAGCCTGAGTGACAGGGCAAGACTGTGTCTCTAATATATTTACATATATATATATATGCTCAGTGTTTTAACAACAACATCCTAAGCCCTCTGGAGCATGTCTCCTAGTTGATCATCTTGATACATTTAAGAGTTGTCCCAATAGCTCTGAGGGAGCCAGGCAGAGAAACTGAGACTGTATGAACTCTGGAAGGTCAAACAGCCAGACAGATGTAACTGGGTGTTCCAGGTTCTTGGCATCCCCTGCCCCAGGAATGGGGAAGAGGCCCTGGAGGTGTGGTGGGCTCATTTAAGTAAATATTGGACTCAGTTTTGCAGAAAAGTGATTTATTAGGCAGAGAGAGAGAGAGAGAAAGAGGAGTAGGGAGAGAGAGAGAGAGGGAGAGAGAGAGGGAATGCCCACACTGTCATGGGAGGGGATCCAGAGATGGAGTCCACACAGGTGAGGGGCAGGGGGTCTTTTAATCTGGGAGTTACTCCTGCCCCATGCAAGTTCTTGTCCCATGAGAGGAGTTCCTTCAAACTTCCACTGGAGTGATTTATCTTTGACGTTGACATTGGATTGGCTGCCCGGCCCATAGCTTTTCCTCCCATAGCTTTTCCCGGGCTTTCTAAACAAAGGAAGCTCACCTGGGCAGTCTACCTTTTCCATGTGAGTGAAAGTTACACAAAGAACTCTAGGCTCCCGGATGGAGACGTGAAAGAAGGCAGGTCAGGCATGTCACTGGGAAGTTCTTGCCTTTGAAACCATGCCCCTGTGAACCAGGGAAGAGAAGTTAATACATAGTCTCACAGCCTTGAGGTAGCAGCGGTTTAGGAAGGATGAGCTGTCCACCAGCTTGCCTGCCTTAGGAACAAGTAGCCAGTCTTACATTGTTTACTAAACTTGCTGAAATCTTTCTTATCTCTGCCTCTGGAAAAAGGGAAAGCAGTAACAGAAACTACTCAAACTTGGTGAAACAAAAATGGAGACTGAACTCCAAGGACCCAGGCAAATCTCTATAATCCAAGCAGAAGACGGACAGTTGGGCCTCACATGGGACTGGGACTCAGAAGTAGGGAGGTGTTGAGAGTAGGGGTTTGAGGAGCCCCAAGCCCACTAAAATTCCAAGGCCCTTTTTATGTCTCTGACAAGGGGAGATATGAGAGAAATATGTGTAAAGTCACTTCTTTTGGTGCAAACAGTGAACTGTAGCAAAAAAAAAAAAAAAAAAGTGCAAAATCTGGGAGAAAGAGCTTATCAAGCTATGTCTGGAAAATACAATTATGCAATATTAATTAAAATAGTAATTAGAATTAAAATACGATGTTATTCAATCCTTTAAGAATAACACTGTAAATTGCAGTATCATTCTTTTTTTTTTTTTTTTTTGAGACTTTGTTTCTTTCTTGTTACCCAGGCTGGAGTGCAATGGCGCGATCTCGGCTCACCGCAACCTCCGCCTCCTGGGTTCAGGCAATTCTCCTGCCTCAGCCTCCTGAGTCGCTGGGATTACAGGCACACGCCACCATGCCCAGCTAATGTTTTGTATTTTTAGTAGAGACGAGGTTTCACCATGTTGACCAGGATGGTCTTGATCTCTTGACCTCGTGATCCACCCGCCTCGGCCTCCCACAGTGCTGGGATTACAGGCTTGAGCCACCGCGCCCGGCTGCAGTATCATTCTTAACCAGTCTGGCCATGGCCAGAGTGGCCGGACTTGTTTTCAGCTGGAGTGAAACTACAGCAGTTCCTCGTTGCCTCTGTGACTGAGCAGGTTAGACTGAGCCAAAAGACCCTGGTGGACATGAAAAAGCAGAGGAAATACTGTGTTTTAAAGTGTTTCTCTAGCACATTTTAAATTAAACAGTCTTTGCTATGCAGGGGCCTGGTGGGGATAAACACTGTTCCTGAACTGTTTTCTAACCCACTGTGGACCCTTCAGCATCAGGAAGAACTAGGTAGCAACAAGGAAATTCAGCTGTTTCCTGGTCCCCAACTCAGAGCCAGCAAAATGGAGGAGCGGGAGAATTTTGTCTCCAGTGCAGGGGCCTCCCTGGCTTCCTTCCCTCATGCTGGCTTCCTTCCCCATTACTCAAGAGTCAGCAGTCTGTTTTTGTATGGCCTGTGAGCTAAGAATGGTTTTTACATTTTTAAATCATTAGAGGGAAAGGGAATCAAAAGAAGAAGATTTTGTGATATATAAAAATCAAATTTCAGTGTCCATAAGTTTTATTGGAACGCAGCCACGCCATTTATATGGTGTCTGTGGCTGCTTTATAACTACATCAGCGGTGATACCATATGCAAAGAGTAAGTATTTACTATCCGGCTCTTTATAGAAGACATTTAAACATTTGGGACCCCTGCCTGACCTTCTGCTCCTGGAGCTGTCCTTCACACTGAGGTGCAAATGACTGATAACAGCTTAAAGTGCTAACTTCTCTTTACCTTTCAGAGGCAATTTTGGATTGCAATAGGGAGAAAACTTATGAAGGAGGTAAAGCCTGAAGAGTTAAAAGGGGGATGTGGGGGAACCCCAGGGGTTGAAGAAACGTGTTTTGGAGCAGAGAATTTCCCCTAAACCCTGAAGTTTTGCTCTCAGATACGTCACATACCAGAAGTTCTCACTGGGTGGTGTCTGCACTGCAGATGGAATAAGGAATTTTCATCACACACATGAATATTGCCTCTTCCTCTGTCCCCAAGTTTACCCATTAACAGTTTCTTCACCTGCTGCCTCTGCTTGCCAATCATGTGGATGTCATTTTTTAAAATTGATTATCTTTATGCTTCATGATGAAAGTAGCAGAAACCTTTGCACTTCAAAGGATTATTAGACGTCGAGCGCGGTGGCTCACGCCTGTAATCCCAGCACTTTGGGAGGCTGCGGCAGGTGGATCACTTGGGGTCAGGAGTTCAAGACCAGCCTGGACAAGATGGTTAAACCCCATCTCTACTTAAAAAAAAAAAAAATACAAAAATTAGCTGGGTGCAGTGGCAGGCACCTGTAATCCCAGCTACTTGGGAACCTGAGGCATGAGAATCGCTAGAACCTGGGAGGCGGAGGTTGCAGTGAACCGAGATCAGGCTCTGCACTATAGCCTGGGCAAGAGCAAGACTCCGTCTCAAAAAAAAAAAAAAAGGGATTATTAGAAATTCCAGCTGCTGATGGAATTACACCTTTTGGTTTCAAATTATAATTTGCTTTTCTCACATAACTTGGTCAAAACTCTTAGTTGAAAATGACAAAAACCAAATCAAATTGGCTTAGCAAAGAGAAAATATACAGGCTCCTGTAACTGGAAAGTCCGAGGTAGCTCTGGCTTTAGACATGGCTGGACTCTGGTAATAATCCAGAATTAGCATGAGGAATAAGTGTAAAGTCATTTCCTTTGGTGCAAACAGTGAACTATAGCAAAAAAAGTTCAAAATCTTGGAGAAACAGCTTATCAAGCTATGTCTGGAAAATACAATTATGCAATAGTAATTACAATTAGAACTAAAATACGACGTTATTCAATCCTTTAAGAATAACACTGGTAAATTTCAGTATCATTCTTAACCAGTCTGGCCATGGTCAGAGTGGCCGGACTTGCTTTCAGCTGGAGTGAAACTACAGCCGTTCCTCATTGCCTCTGTGACTGAGCAGGTTAGACAGTGAGCCAAAAGAATGCATTCCTGGATCCAGCCCTCCGCTCTGCTTCATTCTGGGTTGATTTCATCTTTGGACATGCTCTCCTTGTATCGAGTCCAGCAGCTCTGGCTGGCGTCCTGTCTTACCCAACAATCCAAGCAGAAACAGAGCGATTTTTCCAATAGTTCCTGCAAAAATCCCAAGGCTGATGCCTATTGGTTGTGATTGGTGGGGCTTAGGGAATGTGTCTGCTATTTGAGCAGTCCCTGCACTGGGGCACCTGTATTCACATTAGCCAGGCTAGGTCCATGCCTTTCCTCCTGCCGCATGAGCTGACAGGGAGACAGAGTGCCTGCCCAGAGGAAATCAGTGGGGGCTATTGCTAGAAGAAAAGGGGATGGAAGATGGGTAGGCAAAACAATAGCAGCCTATTGGCCAACTGTAAGCTGTGAAGCCCTTAAAACATGCATTCAGGTAACTAGAAATACAGAAAGCCTAAACACATGGTGGGGCGGGGATATTTGATGCAACAGAAAAGAAGGGTTGACCTCGACCTGCCAGCACGCTTTTCACTTCACTGCCTGGCTTTGGCTTCTCGGAGAGACTGACCCCTTTACTGCCTCTTGCCCCACAGAACCTTAAGCGGGTGGCAGAAGTGTGGATGGACGAGTATGCAGAGTACATTTACCAGCGCCGGCCTGAATACCGCCACCTCTCCGCTGGGGACGTCGCCGCCCAGAAAAAGCTCCGTAGCTCCCTTAACTGCAAGAGTTTCAAGTGGTTTATGACAAAGATAGCCTGGGACCTGCCCAAGTTCTACCCACCCGTGGAGCCCCCGGCTGCAGCTTGGGGGGAGGTGAGTCTGGAGGGCAGGGCTGGCTCCATAATTTACTCGGCGTGCAAAAATGCAAATGCAGACCCCATGTTCAAAAGGCAGAAAACAAGCGCAGGGAGGAAAGGCATGAATATAAAACGGTTTCCTTTCTTTCCTGGTCTCTCTCTCGCCTTGTCATGGTGTATTTTTACTTACTGGTTAGTGTTCTCAGTATAGAAAAATTAAAACTTTAAATTATTAGCATGAATCTTACCTTTCAGCTTTGCATTATACAGTTTAAAATGCAAATTAACAGCATGTAACTCATGTTCAGAATGGGTGAAGTGACTTGATCTGTATTTCCCACCTGCTACATGCATATTTCTCACCAGAACAGTCTAAACATGGCACAAAACTAACTCAGCTGTTTTTACTTCACTTCTTGATAATGTACATATTTTTCCAACACTCTCTACCTTCCATTGACTGATGAGTAAGGAAGGGCTTGAAAGCAAAGGAACTAAGGGGCCAGGCACGGTGGCTCATGCCTGTAATCCCAGCACTTTGGGAGGCTGAGGCAGGAGGATGACTTGAGCTCAGGAGTTTGAAAACAGCCTGGGAAACATAGGAAGACCTTGTCTCTACAAAAAAGAAATTAGCCAGGCATGGTGGTAAGTGCCTGTAGTTGCAGCAACTTGGGAGGCTGAGGCAGAACTGCTCAAGCCCAGGAGGTCAAGGTTCTAGTGAGCTGTGATCGTGCCACTGCACTCCAACCTGGTGACAGAGCAAGACCCTGCCTCAAAAAAGAAAAGGAACTAAGGGTTGCCCTGTCTTTGTCTTTCCTGCAAAAGTTCTTGGCTAACACGGGGCAGTAGAGCAAGTAAAAAAGGACAGGATAGGACTTGTTGGTTGTTCCTGCTTCTTAGGATGCCATTGCCCTTCTTAGTGCACCCAGAGCAAGTTCTGGTTTTAAAGGGAAAGCCTGGCCTCTGGGACCAGCACCCCACTTAGTGTCTTCACACATGCTGCATGCAGACAGGGCAGAGAGGAACAGCATGCTTCTCTGTTCATGCACACACTCCACTGTCCCGTCAGATTTCACTTACAAAGGACAGATCAAAGATAAAATTATTCAGAATTTCAAGAAAGCAGCAACAGAGGTCTAAACCAAGCCAGGCCCTCCTAGGCATGGGGCCCTGTGCAACAGCACATGGTGCAGCCCGTGAAGCACCTGCTGGCCGAGGCAGACCAGTCTCCGCCGGCAGACGAGCATGCCATCATGGGATCCTGGGTCTCCGAGCTTAGAGGGCCTACCCATTCACAGATGGAGATGTTGGAGCTTGGAAAAGGGAAGCATAAGAGTTGGGGCACTTTCAGAGGACCAATTTTTTAAAAATGGGGTGAATATATTGTGTATTGACTCACATAGGAGCCTGGGGTAGCTATGTCTCAAGACAACCTGGATCCGGGGGTTCAAATGATGTCAGTCTCTTTCTCCTGCTGAACTTAGCTTCCTTTTATGTTGGCCTCATGCTGAAGGTATCAAAATGGCTTCCAGAAGCTTCAGGCTGACCAATCCCCCTGCTTGGCCAACCGAGCATAAAGTAAACACCTCTTCCCAAGTATAATCAGTAAAGGTACAGGAATCAAGTCTTATTCTTGGATCCTGTACCAATCACTGGGGCCATCAGGGAAGAGGGAAAGCAGGGTAGGCTGGACGCTCTGGCTGGCCACAGGGTGGGTGAGGAACGGAAAGTCGGGGTGGTGTTACCAGAGGAAGGGGAGAGGCATGGTGGGCTGGCAGGAACACCAGGTATGATTTGCTCAAATTCGTACAGCAAATCACAGAGCCCTTGCCTGGTTCAGCTGCCTGGCTCGCCTACCCCAACATACCTCCAGTTTCCAGGAACACTGCTGTGTGGACTTCCCTCATGAGGCTCTCTGGCTCTTTACCAGCTTGTTGGCTTTCTCACGTGTTTTAGTTCAAGTCCTCCAAGAAGCAGATGCCACAGTGGGATTAGACGCACAAAAGATTTATGGGTCAAACACTTGAGAGAGAAAATGAAGATGCCTGGGGAGACTAGGAGAGCCATGAGACCAGGACACGGGTCTGACTTCTGCAAAGGGGCGAGGGAAGGAAGGAGGGCCAGGGTAGGAAGAGTTCCAGACTGCAGTAAAGCTGTAAGGAAGCTTTGACCAAGTTAATGAAGAGTCCCCAAGCCGGATCACCAGCCAGAATATTTCAGCTTCTCACAAGGGTAGGTCTGCCTCACTCATTGGCTGGGATCCATCCATGGGTGGACACAATGGTAGATTCAGAATACAGGATCTGGTGCAATAAGACTCCCTGCAACAGGAAATTGAGTGGTGCATTTTCATAACCACCACAGCCCCCTACCCCTCAGACAAAGTAGGATTGATATCTATAAGGTAGGAACTATAGGTGACACCACACACCTAGCACAATGGCCTGCCCACAGTAAGTGCCCAATCAGTATTTGCTGGCCAAGCAAACGAGCAGCCAAGGGCTTCAGACTCCTAGCCCAGCGCTCTTCCCACCACACCCGTCTTTGTGGTTGAAGGGTAAGAGGCCACTATTGTTCTTTGGATCTCAGTAGGGGGTGAGGGGGCCTCCTGCCACCTCTTGCCATTCACCTGCTCTAAGGGACAGAGAGCCCATGACATACAGCAAAGGTTTCATGTCCTTTTCTAGGGGCTTTCAAGGTATGGTCCCTGGACCACCTGCACCTGCATCACCTGGAATGGGGGTAAAATTTGGTTCAACTTTAGGCCAAAAAGCAGAGCCCTTGGTTAAAATACAAATTCAATTAAAATTTGGCCAGGACTCCCTGGCTCCACTCCCTGAGAAGTTGAACCAACAGGTTCAACTCCTCACCTCCTGTCCCCCACCACCAAGCCGGGACTCTGCATGCTCTAAACACAGCAGTCCTTAGGATTACGCTCTGTGGATTGAGTCTTCCTTTATGGAGAGGCTCAAGGCACTTCAACAGCCCAGGGCAAGCTTTATGAAGACGATTTGGAGCTTAATCCAGCTAATGTCTCCCCCTCGGTTTCCCCTTTCACCTGGCAGAAACCTGGAGGGCACCTTAAGCCACCTTAGTCAGTGGTCCAGTCCTTCCCTCTTTCTCTTTCAGATCCGAAATGTGGGCACAGGGCTGTGCGCAGACACAAAGCATGGGGCCTTGGGCTCCCCACTGAGGCTAGAGGGCTGCGTCCGGGGTCGCGGGGAGGCCGCCTGGAACAACATGCAGGTAGGAGCCGCCCCTCAGGGTCCAGCAGCCAGGTTCTCTGAAACATCTGCAGCCTGGGGTGCTCACATGGCCAGCTGGGAGGGAGAAGCATGGGTCAGTGACAAGTGACAAGAGTCAGCCCCGGGATGCGTTTCAAGATCTTCCTGAACACCATGGAAAGGGGATTCCTTCACAATGCAGTAAAATCATCAGTCTAGACCATTTTGGTTACAAATGATGGACGTTCAGCCTAATGGCCTTCAACAAAAAGAGGGTTATTGGCTCATGTCACTGAAAAGCCTTATGTTGCTGGATCTCTCAAGAGACTGCTTCCCTCTCTGCATGCCTCATTCTCAACCTGGCTCTTCCTGCATAATAGCAGATGTGGCCATCAGCAGCCCCATGGATAGGCATGCTCCTTCCAAGAGTTCTGGAAAAGCCCTGGCTCCCACGAATTGTGTCCCTGAGCTGATTATACAAGAGGTGATGAACTCCTCATATTGATGGGGACAGAGCCATCACTGTTGGGGAGTGATGGGTATGTTCATTACCTTGACTCCTGGAGCCTGGGGGCATGGTCAGCCTCACTGTAGGATGGGTGGGATGCAGAAGGTGAGCCAGCCTGCAGGAAGAGCCACTGCTCAGACAAGCAGGCTCATGCCTGCAATCCCAACACTGTGGGAAGCTTAGGTGGAGGATTGCTTGAAGCCAGGTGTTCAAGGTTACAGTGACTGTGCCATGCACTCCAGCCTGGGTGGAGTGACCTTGGGTTAAACAATTATTTTTTAGATACGACAAAAAAAAACGTAATCCACAAAAGAAAAAAAATTGACAAATTGGACTAATTCAAAATGAATAAAAAGCAAACCAGGCCGGGTGCAGTGGCTCACACCTGTAATCCCAGCACTTTGGGAGGCTGAGGCGAGCGGATCACGAGGTCAAGAGATCAAGACCATCCTGGCCAACATGGTGAAACCCTGTCTCTACTAAAAATACAAAAATTAGCTGGGTGTGGTGGCACATGCCTATAGTCTCAGCTACTCGGGAGGCTGAGGCAGGAGAATTGCCTGAACCCAAGAGGCAGAGGTTGCAGTCACTGAGATCGCACTACTGCACTCCAGCCTGGTGACAGAGCAAGACTCCGTCTCAAAAAAAAAAAGCAAGCCGCAGATGGGATGAAAATGTTTGTAAAGCATATATCTAATAAAGGACTTGTATCTAGAATATATAAATAAAAGGGCTTGTATCCACTCAAACTCTCAAAACTCAATAATGTTTTTAAAGTAGACACTTTACCAAAAATAAGTATATGAATGGCAAATAGACATATTAAAATGCTTAATTTCATTAGTTAATAGAGAAATGGAAATTGCAATTACCAGGAAATACCAGCACACACCTATTAAGAGGACTGACCATACTAAGGATTGGCAAAGAGGTAGATGAACTGGACCTGTATGCTGCTCATGGGAGTGAAAATGGCACAGCCACTTTGGGAAACAGTGTGGCAGTTTCTTAGAAAGTTGACCAGTCATTCCACTCCTACATATTTATCCAAGAGAAAGAAAACATATGTCCATACAAAGACTTGTACACAAACGTTCATGGCAGCTTTATTTGTAATAACCAAAAACTGGAAACCACCAAGATGTCCCATAGCAAGGAACTGGAATGCAAACTCAGCAATAACAAGCAATGAATTATTGATAAATGCTGTTAGGACATAGACGATTCTCAATAAAATTACGTTGCGTGAAAGAAATGAGAAACGAGAATATATACTGTATGATTCCTTTATAGAAAATTCTAGAAATTGCAAACTAATCACTAGAAACAGAAAGCAGATCAGTGGCTGCCTAAGGATGTGGGGGTTGGTGGGGACAGCAGGAACAGATTACAAGAGAGCATGAGGACACTTTTGGGGAGTGATGGGTATGTTCATTACCTTAATTATGATGATGGTTTCTCAGATGTAAATGTATGTCAAGATGTATCAAATTGTACACTTTAAATGTGTGCAGTTTATTGTATGCCAGTTATTATTCCATAAAGCTACTGAAAAGAAACAAAAAAGTTTATCAACCAAATGGATCATGACTCAAACAGACGAACTCTGAAAAGAAATTGGTTAAGAATCCTGAGCAGACTCGGTGGCTCACGCCTGTAATCCCAGCACTTTGGGAGGCCTAGGTCGGTAGATCACCTGAGGTCAGGAGTTCAAGAAGAGCCTGACCAACATGGTGAAACCCCTTCTCTACTACAAATACAAAATTAGCCAGGTGTAGTGGCATGCGCCTCTAGTCCCAACTACTTGGGAGGCTGAGGCGGGATAATTGGTTGAACCCAGGAGGTGGAGGTTGCAGTAAGCCAAGATTGCACCATTGCAGTCTAGCATGGGCAACAAGAGTGAAACTCCATCTCAAAAAAAAAATAATAATCCCAAGAACACTTGAACTGTGGATATTTGGTGACATTTTGGACTTTGTAGTAACTACTTTTAGATGTTATAATGGCACTTACTGAAGTGCTTATACCTGACATGATATGATATCTGAGATTTGCTTCAAAATAATGTGAGGGTAGGGACAGTGGTGGAAGTAAAGCTGCAACAACATTGGCCTTGAGTTGGTAACTTTGCTCTTTTACTCTGTACCCCAGGCTGGAGTGCAGTGGCGCGATGTCAGCTCACTGCAACCTCTACCTCCCAAGCTCAAATGATTCTCATGCCTAAGCCTCCCGAGTAGCTGGGATTACAGGCATATGCCACCATACCTGGCTAATTTTTGTATTTTTAGTAGAGATGGGGTTTCACTATGTTAGCCAGGCTGGTCTCAAGCTCCTGGCCTCAAAGTGATCCACCCGCCTTGGCCTCCCAAACTGCTGGGATTACAGGTATGAGCCACCACGCCGGGCCAAGTTGGTAACTTTTAAAGCTAGGTGGTCAGAATGGGAGGCACAGTTAATATATTATTTTTTAGACCTCTGAGTTTAAAATGTTCCATAATTTTACAAAATGGAGAAAAAAAGTCCTTGGCTTTGCTGTCCCTATTTTAATGCCCCTGTGCACAGGTATTCACCTTCACCTGGAGAGAGGACATCCGGCCTGGAGACCCCCAGCACACCAAGAAGTTCTGCTTTGATGCCATCTCCCATACCAGCCCTGTCACGCTCTATGACTGCCACAGCATGAAGGGCAACCAGCTGTGGAAATACCGCAAAGTAAGATGGGATGGGGGGAGCAGGGCACCGGTTTGATTTTTTTTTTAAGGAGATATATTGCCTCACCCCTTCTTTCAACAGAGCCTATCCACTTATTCATTTGTGCCACAAACCTACCATGCCAGATTTTACAGTCATTCAAGAGCAATCAGAAATCTAGACTTCTCTGTGAAATCCCCAAATCTAGGCAACTGAGTCCATTTAAAAAGAAAAGCATGACCAGGCACAATGGCTCATGCCTGTAATCCCAGCACTTTGGGAAGCCAAGGTGGGTGGATCACCTGAGGTCAGGAGTTTGAGACTAGCCTGGCCAACATGGTGAAACCTTGTCTCTACCAAAAATACAAAAGTTAGCCGGGTATGGTGGCTCATGCCTGTAATCCCAACTACTGGGGAGGTTGAGGCAAGAGAATTGCTTGAACCCAGGAGGCGGAGGTTGCAGTGAGCCAAGATTGCACCATTGCACTCCAGCCTGGGTGACAGAACAAGAACTTGTCTCTAAAAAAAAAAAAAAAAAAAAAAACAGAAAAGAAAAGAAAAATGAAAGTGTGCACATTGCAAACACACACACACATGCGCACACACATCATAAGGACCAGTGAGGTCTGACGGGACGTGGGCAGTGTCTAGGTCCCAGGTCTGGAAGCAGCATGTATCACTTCTGGCCACATCCCAGCAGGCAGAACCCAGTCCCATGGCAATAGCAGCTGCAAGGGAGGCTGGGCAGCATCTGGCTGTGTGCTCAGGAGGAAAATCAACAGGTGTATGGACAGCCAATCAGTCACTTCCTCACTTTCTCCTTGCTCGTGTTGTTGCTGTGGTTTGACTAGTCGTGTCTCCAGTGCTGTCTGGCTTATTACCTCCATGTTTTGTAGGACAAGACCCTGTACCACCCTGTCAGTGGCAGCTGCATGGACTGCAGTGAAAGTGACCACAGGATCTTCATGAACACCTGCAACCCATCCTCTCTCACCCAGCAGTGGCTGTTTGAACACACCAACTCAACAGTCTTGGAAAAATTCAATAGGAACTGAGCCCTCATGTCCCCTTGGCAGGCCCCACAGGGTCTGGCATTCACTGCAGCCATCCTTTTAAGGGAAGCAGGGCCTCTGTGCGCACTGGGTGTAAAAGGTGCTGGCCAAATGGTTCAGGGTGAAGAGGACTCTTGAATCAGGGGCTGGGGTCTGCCTGGTCCTTGAGCCCCTGAGCTGGGGGGTAGGGTGAAGAGCAGATCCCACAAGAAGCCCCACAGGGAGCAGAGCCTGCTTTAATCCCTGCTGGCATCACAGAAAAGCAGCAGGGCCTTTTCAACTTTATCACTATGTCCCCTTGAGCATTATGTGAGAGAATACCAGGGTAGCCTAGGCCACCCAAAAATGAGTCCTGCAAGGTTGCCCAGCCCTCAGGTGGCTCTCCTACATGATGATACTTTAGAAAGAAAAGTAAAATGTCCCTGTTTGGGGCAGCTTTTAGTACTGATGCCACTCATCAGAAGGGAAAGAAGTCTTTTTGGGGCTTTTTCGTTTCTGCTCTCCTAGGGGGTACATGGCAGTTACTGCCCAGCTTCTGTTTTCTGTCACAACCCCAGGTGATTTGGTCTGGTCAAAGGCCATGCTTGGGGCCCTCAGAATGTTCAGTACCAAATGCTGGTCAAGGAGTTGGAAGAGGGACCCCCCCAGACATTTCTCTGCAGCTATGAACATGCAGGATATTTCCCCCTGCTCTCTGGGTATTTAAAATGTCCATTTTAGCAGTCTCCAGGCACAAGGACAGCCCAGCCACCAGCTTTTCAGGGCAGTGTTTCAGATGCCCTTGAGCCCATGGAAAAGGCCAAGTAGACCTCCAAACTAGAAATGCTGGCTAATTTTCCCTGATCCATGCTTCCATTTCCCCTTCTCTCTTCCCCAGGCAATTACTGGACTCAAAAGAGAAACAGAGGTGCTGCGAGGTGCTTACCTCACAGAGTCTGGAGGCCTCCAGGATCAACTGTGGGCAAAGTGCCTGCCTCTGACCTCATCATGGTTCTAGTTCTCATTTGGAACTCCAGAATTGTAAAAGAACTCTATAATTGGATTGCAAACTAGAATGCTACCTAGGATTCTGGTATTCCAGCATCCAATATGGATTTCTAGAATGCTGTGATTAAAGGAGCCAGCCAGGTGTAATACAGTCAAGGCAGCCCCCAGCCTAGAGACAATCTGTGAAATCCAAAGTTGGTGGTGTTGGGGAAGCAGGGGGACATGAGTGTCCCTCAGCTCAAAGCAGAGGCTGTGGTATGACATGGTCCTCAGTGAAGATCTGCACCCTGGGACCTCCCACCATCATCACAGCTGCAGTCTCATTTGCAGTGGAGAAATGAAACCGTTGTCCCACAGCCAGATATACACCCAGCTCCATGCCAGCCCTTCATGTTTACCTTTTGCTTTGTTAATTACATGTCAGACTCCTAGAGGGCCTCCAGACTAATAGAAAGCATTTCTGTAACCAACCTGCCACCCACTCATTCAGAAATGGAAATCACATTCCACAGTCTATGGCTTCCACCAACTAGCCCAGGAAATACTTGAAATCAGCATTCCAATTAGTGTTGGGTCTCTTGATTGTGTCATTTACCAATTAAATAACTAAGACATAAGTCTGGGAACAGAGCCACAAATCTGCCTTTGAGATGCTGGCTGATCTCAAGGCCATCAATTATTGGCGGAGGGAGGGACAAACGCTCCCAACCATCCACCAGTCAGACTGAATGTGTAGCTGGCAAAGAATTACTTCCACTTCTGGCCCAGCACAAACCCTGCTCTGGCCACCTGTCTGCAAGAGGTGACCCCTGCAGCTTTAGAAGCGGCCCTCTGTAGAAAGAAGTCAAAAGATGAGGCCCCTTCTAGAATCTAGGATAACAAGAGTGTTGGCAGTTTGAGGAGTTGAACTAAGATTCATCATCAGAGAGTAATGCAGTGTCATTAAAATAAAAACTGTGCCTTTTAAAAAGAAAAATGCAAATATACAGCAAATCCCTAAACTTGAACCATTTCCTAGTGCCTTGCTAGACAAATGTAAAGGGGTAGGGTTGTGGGGAGGGGAACATTTTTGGTGGCGTGTGCAGTTCCTACTGGATGAGTGCGTGTTTCTTAATGTCTAATTTCAAGCAGGAGATGTCGGGCCTGGAGCAAGATCTGAGACTGAGATGCCCCCAAGGGTAAGAGGTCAGATTTATTCCAGTTAGTGCAAGTCACACTCCAAACTAAAGGCTGGGCAGTGCATTTAGTTTGTGGCCTAGAAGGCCTCATCAGCCCCCAAGAGGAGGCCTTGCATTACCTCACTAGGACCTGTTTGGGGGCCATGCCTGCAGTTCACCCTCTGAACCCTCAGAGTGTTTGTCCTGTTTCTCGTCATGGGGTTAAGGTGTGCAGAGCACTAGCCAGACTTCCACATAGTCCTGCCCGAAGTGGGCGGCAGTATTCCTGGCATGACCAGGATTCCTGTGAAAGCAGGAGCAGCAGCAAGCCGTCCCAAGCCTGCCTTTGGTTCTCCTTTAGAGTCTGGGTTCACACCTGAAAAGGGATGGGCGCATCCTCTGAGCAGTCTGTCACTTGTCATTGCTGAGCCCACATCAGTAGGTCTGGGGACTTGACAAAGCATGTGGGAGGGGAAGGAAGAACAGAACTTGATTGACTCCATTTCTTGGAACAACTGATTAATTGCTAATACTAAACCACTCATTGTTATGGCTTTGTTTTTGAAAACCACCTGTCTCAAGGATTCAGATTTCCGCTCACATCCCCAGCTGATACTCAATACAACTCAACCAGGAGCCTGTAGAGATGCTGACAGCCAGGTGATGGGTGAGACTGTGGGTCCCTTTTCCTCTAAAGCCTTTACTCTGAGGATGAGGTCACAAAATAGGGTGTGACTAGAAAGTATCTTGACCATGTGGCCCACCAGCAGCTTTTCCGAAGGGGAACTCCAGGACCATTTCATAATGCAAAGAGCACTGTTGCTTTAAGTACAAAGCCTTCAGGGCCTTTGAAGGCGGCTAAACTTGCAGGCGTGTGTGTGAAAAGCCATCCCATCTTCTGCCTCCAACTGGAGCTTTCAGCTTTTCAGTCAGAACTATTGATTCTTTCCTTTAGGAAAAAACCGCTCAGGCAGAACGGGGTACATCCACAGGAGGAATCTGGTAAGAGCATGGGACCAGGAAAGAAAGAGCAGTTTCTGTTGAAGATGTAGCAAACGGATTTCCAAAGTCTACATAACATTCACTTTTCAAACTTCCCACCAGTGGAATTTCTTTTTTTCCTTAAGAAATAGGTGATGTCTTTGAAAACAGCTCCATATATCTTTCTGTGTGTCTCCATTTTCCTAGTCTCTGGAGTCTCAAAAACAGTGGCAATGCACTTTATAGTACTAACTGAGAAATCAGATTCCCTGCTTCAGCGGTATCTAGTTTGTACAGGTTGGGTGATCTTTTATAATTCCTCGGAGGCAATGCATTTTTAATGTTTTTTGATGCTTTGTAATTGTGAGAGGGGGTCAAGAAGTACAGTTCTGTTCTGGAATTCTTTATTGCTTTCAACGGATGCTCTTTGTGAAAAATCCAAGTAATATTTTAGTTCAAACTTGATCTTGAGCCAAGGCCCACTGCCACCTCTGGGGTGGGAGTTGGACCTACATAGCAAGTGACAAGTTCATCTTAACATCTGCTTCCAAAATGGCTTTGATTCAGCCATGCCAGGCAACAGAACAGGGCCACTCCTGCTCTGTTATTGGCTTGAAGACTAGGATCCCAAAGGGGTTGCAGGCAGGAATATTTGGAAATTCAGACTGGAATTCCATGCTGAAAGCTCAAGACCACCGGCCTCCCCTCCTGCCTGGAAAAGTGAGCCTTTGTGAAGGACTGACTTACCACGTACAATTGTGATTGTGAATGTTGTTGAGTAAACCTCCAGTCTTTCTCTAAAGCGGTCTCTGCCTTCTTCCTTCTCATGTGTCATTCTTCTTTCCATCATTCTTCACGTAGACCACCCACTTTGGACTCAGGCACTCTGCTGGGTACTAAAAACTAATTCCCAACAGCCATCATTCTAGAGTGGAAGGCAGACCTAAAACAGCCAAGATGATTTCAGCTGCAAATAGGGCTATGACGGATATAAAGCCATGATATTTTAGAGACTGTCAGTGTTAGCTAGAATGGTGAGAGCTGAAAGACATGGAGAAGGAGGGTGAATCAAGATGATTTCAGGGAACACAGTTCTAGGCAGAGGGAACAGCAAGTGCAACGGGCCTGAGGTAATTAGAAGTTCCTGTGTTGGAGGAGGAGAAGGAGGTGAGCTTGAAGAGTTATGTGGGGTATCCCACAGAGTGTCACACCCAGGAGTGGAGGATCTCAGGAGGGCAATGACAATATGAAATAAGTATAACTTTTTTTTTATGCTCTCCCTCTGTCACCCAGACTGAAGTACAGCAGCACTCAGTTTACTGCAGCCTTCAACTCCTGGGCTCAAGTGATTCTCCCACTTCAGCCTCCCTAGTAGCTGGTAGCACAGACATGCACCACCATGTCCAACTAATATTTTTTTTTTTTGTAGAGATGAAGTCTTGCTATGTTACCCAGATTGTTCTTGAACTCTTGGCTTCAAACAGTCCTCCTGCCTCGGCCTCCAAAAGTGCTGAGATTACCGGCATGAGCCACCACACCCAGCTGTAACTCATTTCTGATGCTCACCCATCAGGTGCACGTACTTGTTTACCAAAACATTTTGATGCTATTGGGTATTGGATGTGGTAGGAAGAGCACTTTCTGGCCCAGTTCTGCAAAAAACTCACATCTTGGGCAAATACTGCTTCCAACTAGACCTGTTTTCCACAGTAAAATGACGGGTTTTTGGATGATGCTTCCAGCTCCACCTGTGGTCCTATGATTGCATCTTGGTTGGAGGCTGCAGGTGACAATGAACAGAAGCTGGAGGTTGCCCCCCATGCTGCCACCCAGGGCCCACCAGAGGGTGCTATGGACCATGGCTTGAAGAAGGCTGAATAACAGAAACGGGAAGTTTGGCCTATTTGGCAGGTTTGAGCCCTGGAATGAGAGGATCTTCTTAAAAGGTCCTTGGTGCCTCAGAATACTGTTCCATATTCTTAATTTTGCAGATAAAACAGGCCCAGAGAAACCCCTGACCCAAGATGACATGGTAGTGACTGACACAGTAAAGAAGTCTAGGTTTTCAGTATCCCCTCTCTCATGTTATCCTCACACAATAACACCTTACAGCTTTGTCGACACGGGGAGAGATTCCTTTATTTTGTTGTTGTTGTTTGTTTGAGACAGAGTCTCACTCTGTTGCCCAGGCTGGAGTGCAGTGGTGCCATCTTGGCTCACTGCAACCTCTGCCTCCTAGGTTCAAGCGATTCTCTTGCCTCAGCCTCCCAAGCAGCTGGGATTACAGGTGTCTGCCACCACACCCAGTTAATTTTTGTATTTTTAGTAGAGACAGCGTTTCACCTTATTGGCCAGGCTGTTTTCAAACTCCTGACCTTGTGATCCACCTGCCTGGGCCTTCCAAAGTGCTGGGATTACAGGCGTGAGCCACTGTGCCTGGCTCAGATTCCATTTTTAAAGCCTTTTATACCTGTGTCCCCCTAGACTCTCAGAATAATTCCATGAAATAGATAAGAGAAAAATATTAGCTATTCATTCAGTAAAAATGTATCAAGTGCCTACTATATACCAGGCACTCTGCTAGCAATAAAAAGATTGTGCAAGGCACTTATGATCTAGTTAGAGAAATAGACATTAAACAAATGATCATTAAAATAAGTGTATCATTAGGGACTACGTAAGTTCTGCAAAGGAGAAGTGCATGTGGGATTATGTTATAAGAACTTGACTTTAGCAAGGAGGTCATGGAGCATGCTGAATCAGCTAAGATCTTGTCATGATACAGCCCACTCCTGGAGTAACAGAAGAGAGTTTAATGAAAACTATTGGACAAATATGGGTAGAATTAAGGGAAACAACAAAGGATGGTGTAGCACATAAGGACTAGCAGAAATGGGAAGCTGTTACTACTCTTAAGCCTGGAAAGGCAAGAAGCAGTGGTGTTACTAGAATGCAGAGAAGGCAGTAGCCAGGTACAGGGGCTTCCCAGTGGGATCTGCAACTGCAGGTAGTAAATTGCAGCTACTGCCAAAACCAGAGGAGGTGGGAGGAATACATACCCTGTCCTTTCTCCTTTTCTACCTTCCAGTCATCTGCTACTCACTGCCTCCCATTGGGTAAACCCAGTAATACAAATTCACATAAAGAAATGAAAAGCACTGGTCAAAATAACTATATAGGTAAATATAGAAGACAGTATAGATAAGGGATTTTTTTGTTTGTAACCCCTTTTTTCTCCTGGCTGCTTTAAAAGCAAATTGCATAAATCAATAATTATAAATCTATTGATGGTCACACAATGTATAAGGATGTAATTTATATGTCAATAACTAACAAGAAAGAGGAGGAGGAAAGGGACAGAGCCATATAAGAGCAAAGCTGCCATATACTACTAAAATTAAGTTGAATTTAATTCTGAATTTTAAAAATTCTGAACCAGAATTGACAACTAAAAATATATGTGCACCTAACAACAGAGCCCAAAACACATAAAGCCAAAACTGACAGAACTGAAAGAAGAAATAATTATTTGACAAGAATAGCTGCAGACTACAGTACCCCACTTTTAATAATGAATAGAACAAGTAGACACAAAATCGGTAAGGAAATACAAAATTTAATTCTGTAAACGGACTAGAACTAACATCTATAGGACACTCCACCCATCAACGGCAGAATACCATACAACACAAACAGGAAGAAGGGAATAGAGCAACAACAGAGTTCAAGTGTGCGTCAGACATTCCCCAGGATAGAGCATATGCTAGGTCATAAACAAGGCTCAGTAGATTGTAAAACAACTGAACTAAAATCTGTTCTTCAGCCACAATAGAATGTAATTAGAAATCAGTAACAGAAAATTGGGGGAAATTTAAAAATATAGGGAAATTAAACAAACACTGTTAATGACCAATGGGTCAAAAAAGGATTCCCAGGGAAATTAGAAAATAATGTGAGACAAATGAAAATAAAAACATGACATTTCAAAATTTATGGGATGTGGAAAACTCAGTGCTCAGAGGGAAATTTATGGCTATAAATGCCTACACTTAAAAAGAAGAAAAATTTAAGTTAATACAACCTTCCACCTTAAGAAACTAGAAAAAGAAGAGCAAATGAAATCCAAAGCAAACAGAAGGCAATAATAAAGATTAGAACAGAAATCAGTTAAAGAGATTAGACAAATAGAAAAAAAAAAAAAAATCAATGAAACCAAGAGTTGGTTCTTTGAAAAGGGTTGTCTACAAAAATGGGCAAACTTTCAGCTAGGCTGACCAAGAAAATATAAGTTGTATTTCTGACCAAGAAAAAATAAGTTGTATTCTACACTGACAATGAACAAAAATTAAGAAAATCTATTACGGCTGGGCACAGTGGCTCACACCTATAATCCCAGCATGTCAGGAGGCTAACGCAGGTAGATCACTTAAGCCCAGTTCAAAACAAGCACAGGCAACATAGTGAGACCCTGTCTCTACAAAAAAAGAAAAAAAAAAATTAAAAAATTAGCCAGGTATAATGGTGCACATCCATAGTCTCAGCTACAGATGAAATGGGAAGATACCTTGAGCCCAGGAGGTTGAGGCAGCAGTGTGTCAAGATCACACCACTGCACTCCAGTCTGGGTGACAAAGTGAGACCCTGTCTCAAAAAAACAAAACAAAAAGGGAAATTCATTTATAACAGCAACAGGGGAGAATAAAATACTTAGGAATAAATTTAGCCAAATAAGTGCAAGACTGAAGACTACAAAACATTGTTGAAGGATGTTAAAGAAGATCTAAGAAAGTGACATTCACTGCTCATGAACCAGAAAACAATACGTATTAAGATGACTGTACTGGGCAGGCACAGTGGCTCATGCCTGTAATCCTAGCAGTTTGGGAAGCCAAGGCGGGCAGATCACGAGGTCAGGAGTTCAAGACCAGCCTGGCCAACATGGTGAAACTCCCGTCTCTACTAAAAAATACAAAAATTAGCCAGGCATGGTGGCGGGCGCCTGTAATCCCAGCTACTCAGGTGGCTGAGGCAGAAGACTCACTTGAACCCAGGAGGGAAAGGTTGCAATGCGCCAAGATCACACCCCTGCACTCCAACCTGGGTGACAGAGCAAGACTCTGTCTCAGAAAAAAAAAAAAAAAAAAAGATAAAGATCACAGTACTTGCAAAGCTACAGATTCAATGACCTCTCCATCAAACTTTTCAATGCTGGCCAGGTGCATATCTGTAATCCTCCACTTTGGGTGGTGGAGGCAGGTGGATTACCAAGATCAGTAGTTCAAGACCAGCCTGGACAACATGATGAAACCCCATCTATACTAAAAATATAAAAATCAGCTGGGTGTGACAGCGTGTGCCTCTAATCCCAGCTACTAGGGAGACTGAGGCAGGAGACTAGCTTGAACCCAAGAGGTGGAGGGTGCAGTGAGCTGAGATCGCGCCACTGCACTGCAGCCTGGGAGACAGAACAAGACTCCGTCTCAAAAAAGAAAAAAGCAATGCCTTTTTTGTAGACATGGACAAGTTGATTCTATAATTTATATGGAAATGCAAATGATCCAGAATAGCCACAAAAATCTTGAAAAAGAATAACAAATCTGGGGGACTTACACATTTTAATTCCTAAATTTTCTACAAAGATAGAGTAATGCAGCCAGTGTGCTACACACATAAGGATAGACATATAGATCAATGGAATAGAATTGAGAGTCCAGAACCCATACATTTATAGTCTATTGCTTTTTGACAATGGTATCAAAACCATTCAATCGAGAGAGAACAGTCTTTTCAAAAAATAGCACT